TAATTTTAGTAATATATATGCATTCAAGTTGTATAATTTTACATTTTAATAAAATATAATTAAGTTAAAATAAAATAAACAATATAATGAACTAACTAAATTAATAAATCCGTTAATATAACAAAAGATGTAGAAGGATGGGGTGTAGATGCCTACGTGGTATTGCAATTATCCTTCCAAGTTTTTGGTCTATGTGCCATTGCAAGTCTTCGAAAGTGTAATAGAAAGACCCATGTGGATGGTCACTGTTGAACTGAATGGAGTGTCTTAAGGTTGATTTTGAATCCACTAACGTAAGCCATGACTACTGATATATTCTCTTAAGTTGAATTAGTCTTCACGTCACCATCTATTCAATCACAAGCATTAAAAAGAGATAAAACTATCACAATTTTAAGGTGGTGTTCGGTTTTTAAGAGGTGCTGAAGTATGTGAAAGGATTCAAACCCTTGAATTTCATTATTGGAGAGGTCTCCTATTTATACAAATACAAGGCCTTATAAGATAGGCAATGATCTTAGCTAAACTATGAGAATATACAGAAAATATTCACAAAATCAAAAGAGATATACATGATCACAAAGAGATTTACTCTAAATATACATAGATATCCTATTATACCCCAGCAGTCGAAGCAAGAGGGTGAACACTAAGACTATCACGAAAGTCATCAAAAAGAAGGCGTGGAAGACCTTTGGTGAAGATGTCAGGGACTTGGTATCGTGAAGGGCGTGTAATGACAATACCGAGGAAATAGGTTAAGAGGCCAAGATCCTTCATAGCAAACTCGGTAGCAAGAAGAGACATCATAGACGTGCAGAGACTCTTTGAAGAAGCCGCGAGAATGATATTATCGACATATAGAAGTAGGTAAGCCTTGTCGTTGGCTTTTTTATAAACAAAAAGAGAGTGATCGCATCGATTGTGTATGTAACACCCCATACCACACATTGCATGTAACATATACTTCATACAGAAGAAATACATGTTTATGTACCACTCAGGTCCCTTAGTACAAGAATTTACCACACATAATACATAACCCAAAAATTCAAAATACATTTCTTGTACTAATCATCGTTCATCAATAAAAACTATACATCATAGACAAATCTTCATGTAGCTATGCATATAGGAAAATATCACATTTTCTCCTTCCCCTTACTGTCCATACCTCCTGCAATACATATTTAAAATCACAAAACGAGGGTTAGACCGAAAGGTCTAGTGAGTTACCCTATTTATGTCATTGCAGGATGAAAATCACCAAAACTTTGTACAAAATAACTTTTTCATATATATATATAACATATTACCAGTACTTTTCCATTTTTCAAGCCAAACATTCAACTATTCAAACAACCTACTTCAAACATTTATAGGTTTGAACCAACAAGATTTCATATAATGCCACTTTTAAACATTTTTCCATTAAACAAGGTTTATTTAAAGTTTCAGGCCAAACCTGTTATTTCCTCCTCAATAACATCCAGACTACGATTTCCAATAAAAACTCCAATCTTAAACCTTTAAATCACAAAGAAATAAAGATTCCACACCACGGTAATTTTAAAGGATATAATAGTAAGAGTTATATAACATAACACATATACAAATGTCACCTTATATCCAAAGGTACACCTCTACTTGATATGTCACCATTATCCCATAATACACCTCTCCTTGATATGACACCCTTATCCCATGGTACACCTCTCCTTGATATGCCACCCTTATTTCCTCATTAAAACATTTCACAAAATAATTCCATTTAGACCTCAGTCAAAGGAATTATCAGTTCAAAATCATTCTTTATCAAAATTCCCATTTTTATACAAGAATACTAAAAATGATAATTGTATAAATAATACATAAGTCAAAGCACAAATCCGGTCAACATAGACTTGACCGGACTTCATATCTGGTCAGGTCTTTACCGATTTACTAATCTAGTCAATACAAGACCCTTGTCCGATTTACTAATCTGGACAACTCTCTCTCTCAAGCTTTGTCCGATTTAACACTTAAGAGATCTTCAACACTTTTATCCGGATAACAAATCCGGACAACACATCGCCCAAGGCTTGTCCGATTTAAAATAATTCGGTCAACACATGGTCATATTCATACTTCTCCGTTCAAAATATTTAACAAGCTCAATGTTATAAATCGTTAAACACATGACCGGTGTTGGTTCCAAAAGGGTCTACAAGAATACTAAACAGTTTGTAGAAGGGGGGGGGGATGAATACAAACACAATTTTCAAATTTAAAAT